TTAAATATTTTTAAATATTTAAATAAAATTTGAGTGATTTTGACTGACTTTGAAAATATTATACAATATTATACAAAATATGTATAATATTATACATGATTAAATAAATGCAGCCTTGGTGAGCATAAGGTGAGATTTCTTTCAAAATCATTAAAAAATATTTATTATTAATTTACAATAGTCATTATATAATATAAAAATAATTACAGTAAGAATTGTTTTTAATACTAAAATGTATACATGTGTATATTGATTTCTTTTTTAAATATATAGTTTATTTTAATGTAATTCATTTAATATAATTTTAAATTTTTATTAATTAAAAAAATAATTAAATATAATTAATTTAATATATTTTAATTAATTTGTATTCATTTAAAAAAATAAAACAGCTTTGTATCACAGAAATAAATTACGTTAAAATTCATTGCAAAAGAAAACAGCTATTTTAAATTGTAATAATATTTCTCAATATTACTTTTTTTATTGTAGTTTTAAGACTTCTTTCAAAAATGTTTAAAAACCCCAAACTTTTGAACGCTAGTGTACATTAAACGGGCCTCATGTGTAACAGCTCCATGGTTCTCGTGCGGTAATGATGTTCAACACGAGCAGCAGAAGGAGTCACAGCTCAGCTCTCAGTACGTCTGATCTATGAACTCTGCGATTGCGGGGCGTTTGATTGTTACATGGTCCGTCTGTTCCTCAGGCAGACCTCTGAGGTGCCCATCTATCAGTCTGACAGCAGACTTGGCAAATACAGCCAGACACACACACACACACACACACACACACACTCTCTCTCTCTCTCTCACACACACACACACACACACACACACAGTCTCACAGTTGGACATAGTCAAGTACAACATCAACAGAGTGTTCTCTCTACATGCCCTGCCAGTCCTGCCAGCATGTTCCTCGAGCAGATGTGGATAACAGCGGCCACTGATCTTACACACCGATACCAGTTACACACTAGACAAATCTCACATCCAGCAAAAGATATGGCTCCTTGTTAAATTTTAATTTAAAAACACAGTATTTGAAAAAGACTGTTTACTTAAAGGAATAGTCCAAAAATGAAAAACTTACTTGGCCTTAGCCCATATAAGATGAGTGTGTTTCTTCATCAGATTTGGAGAAATGTAGCATTGCATCAGTGTCTCAGCAATGGATGCTCTGCAGTGAATGGGTGCCGTCAGAATGAGAGTCCAAACAGCTGATAAAAACATCACAATAATCCACAAGTAATCCACAGCACTCCAGTCCATCAGTTCACATCTGGAGAAGACAAAAGCTAAAACAAATACAGCATTAAGACGTTTCTAACTAAAATATAATCCATAATAACGCTTCCTCCAGTGAAAAAGTGGTCTGGTCTGAATCAGGAGAGAAATCTGCACAGATCAAGCACCGTTTACAAGCCAAAACAGCTCTAAACAAATATGTGGTGAATTTTGATGTGAGAGACAACAGGAGATGGACATTTTTCACTGGAGGAAACGGTTTGAAGGTAAAACGTCTTAATGCTGGATTTGTCTCAGCTTTTGTCTTCTCCAGATGTTAACTGATGGACTGGAGTGCTGTGGATTACTTGTGGATTATTGTGATGTTGGTTACACTTTATTTCGATAGTCCACTTTAGACATTCTACTTACTGTAAGTAACTTTGCAACTAACTCTCATTAGAGCATTTGTAGACCGTTAGGTTAGGGTTAGTAGAATAAGCTGCCGTACTTGCGAAGTTACTTATAGTCAGTTGAGCAACCATCAAAATAAAGTGTTATTAGATATTAAACAGACAGACTACTAATACTCTAACGACTGCTAGTTGACATGTAGGTGCAAAGTTACTTATAGGAAGTAGAATGCCTAAAGTGGACTATCAAGATATAGCTGTTTGGACTCTCATTCTGACGGCACCCATTCACTGCAGAGGATCCACTGGTGAGCAAGTGATCCAATGCTACATTTGTACGTTTTTGAGGTTTTTCCCACTTCAAAACGTTGCTTCTGGCTAGTCCATAATCCATAATTACACTTCCTCCAGTGAAAAAGTCCTCTTCGAAATGATCGAATTACCTGTTTTTGATTCTGTCATTGGTGCAGAGTTTACAGAATCATGGGTAATGTAGTTTCTTACCAGGAATTATTTACAAAAATTAAAAAAAAAGCATTCTGATGGCTTCAACAAAAGCATTTACCATCGATTAACAACCTCACAATAGGTCTGTAAAGGTTATTGTTCAAAATCAATTCACCTATGGAGAAAATGAATGTTTTCATTTTAATTGTACTTGCATTCAAATTTGAACTGCATCCTATTTGCCACATTAATACAAATTCAAATTCTCAATTCAATCAATTCTGAAATGCACACAATGTCTTGGAACCTAAACTCTATTTTCTGTGTAAAAATACGTTCTAATATACACTTTCCCAAGTATATATTAATACATCTGTAGGCTGTATTGCTGAAGCGTGTAATAAAATAGTCTTTTTCAGTCACTCATTCCTTGTATTTCTGTCTTTCTCTCAGATTGTGAGTGTGGGCAAACATGTGAAAGGATATCACTACATCGTGGCTAACCTGGTGAGTGCTGGCGCGGGTTTATACAGGGATGGAGCGCTGGAGGAAATGAACACATGTAGAGGACAGCGTGTCCTCTGGCTGTAATTCTCTGTGACTGAGCTTCACTTTCCTGAAGAAAACCAGAACGCAGTATTACATTTTGGCATCTAACTCACATCGTTTGTGAAGGATTCCTTAAATCATGTGCACTAGTGCTTTACCAAGTGATCAGACGATAATTACAATAATTATTTTTAATATTAAAATTAATTTCCTAAAATGTATAATTAAAATGAAAGAATTAATTAACTTCAGCGACACCCAAGACGACATTAGCAAATGTATACATTTATATTAAATAATTTAATTAATTTAATATAATTTTCAATGTATTTGTATCTTTTTCGAATTAATTTTTAATATAAATTATTAATTTAATTAATTTTAATTTTAATTAATTTAATATAAAACTTTATGTATTTGTAAGAATCTTTCTCTAATTACATTTTTAAATATATACATATATATATAATATATATAATAATTACATTTTTAAATATGTAATTTAAAACCAACCACACCAAACACCCTAGCAACCACATAGCAACAAACTAAACATTACTCATATCATCTTAGCAACCATAAATCAATGCCCTGGCAACACTGCACTTCTCACATCTTTTTTTAATGTATCTGTATGTATCTTTCTCGAATTAATCTGAGCGAATCACGTAGCAACCACCCAAAACACCCTAGCAACATGAGGTGTTTTGCACCTCTCAGAAACTGTAAAACACAATCTGGATGATTAATTTGATCTGAACTGGTAGTTAGTCTCAAGGAGTTTGCAGTCTTGTTCAGTTTCGGAGACTCTGACTATGATTGACTGCTGAACCTGAACTTTGTTACGTGTGATTTATCGTTGCTTATTTTGTGCTGTGCTTTAACATATTCTGTGCTGACATTTGTTAGCGTCAGCATCTGGGATATTAAGAAATGTTATAACTCACATTTATTCAGTCAATCTCCATTTTTCCACCTTTTTATCTTTTCAATGAATCGGCTGCATTCGCTCTCACTCTGATTTGCTCTCTGTCTTTCTCCCTGCAGGGATTTAAGGACATTTCTCTTGAGAGGTTTATGCACGGCGGGGCAAACGTAACTGGTTTCCAGTTGGTGGATTTCAGCAAACCAGTGGTGATCAAACTAATGCAGCGGTGGAACAAACTAGACCAGAGGGAGTATCCAGGATCTGAGAGCCCACCCAGGGTAAGCAAATACATTTACAACATAATTAAACACAAATGCAAACACTGAATAACAAACACTGCGGACATTTATTTGCACACACTTTATTTTTCTGCATTGTTTCAGCACCCAGTTCACTAAAGGAATTAGCGCAAACATGCTCTGAGATCTGTACTAAACGCCATTGAATCCATTAGCAGCATAATTCCTTATCTACTCAAACAGCGTGCTTCGAAACCGCCCAGCAAATAGCAGGTTGGTTTAAATCAGGTCGAAACTCTGATAATCCTGTCGGACGCATGTGGCAGAGTTCCAGTCACAGATGTTCAGCCAATCAAACTGTGACAGGACACATTCTTCGTGAAGCTTTAGCCAATGAGATTTAACGAGCAGCTGCCCAGGCAATATTTGAGTCAATTAAGCCATGACAGACCGCAGCCGGAGCCACGTTTAACCCATCTGTTGGGGAACATGTGAAATAAAGTCTAAATACAAGTAAATAAATGTTGTGTTTTGAAGACTGGGAAACCATTCTAGTTTTCCAAGAGACAAAGAGAAAAATTCACATTTAGGGGCACAATTACATAGTATCAAATATTGTGTTTTTCCTTTATAAAGGGATACAATGAAGGCAAAAACAGTAATAGTGCTGTCAAATCGATTAATCGCACAAAAAAAAAAAAAATTGTTTACATAATAAATGTGTGTGAACTGTGTAAACACAAACTTTTATTTTGGATGCCATTAATCGTGATTAATTGATTTGACAGCACTAATATATATATTTATATATATATACACCATGGTCTGTCTGAATACTCTATTCTGATTGGCTGGCAGGTGTGCATTAAAACCGTTTAATGCACAGGTAGTTCTAAGTCAGTTTAATCACCGTTCTATATTAATATGTTGCTTCAATTGATGCACACAAACACACACACACACACACACACACACACACACACACAGTGCTGGGTAGTAACTAATTACATGTAATCTGGATTATGTAATCAGATTCCAAAAATAAAGTACTTATAATTAGATTATATTACAGATTACAGTTACTTTTTTATAATTACATGATTACATATTATTTACACAATGGCAGTAAATTATTCAGAATGTATTGATTCGCCCTAATTCTTCTATTTTCTCTCTTAAATATTAGTAAAATATATTATATACTAAATACTAAAAAAAATAACAATACTAAAAAAATACAATTAAGTAAAGTATATAAATATATTTATAAATATATTAATATCAAATTCCTGTTTTTCCATCCCCAAATTTAAGACTCTTAAAATTATTAAGATGTTTGTTATAAAATTTAAGATATTTTTTAAAACTCAGATATTATAATTCAAGACTTATTACCTTAAATTTCATAAAACTGATTATTTTTATATTTTAAGGACCCACTGGGCCGTTTTGTTATTCACACACATGCTCCTAAATACATTTTACAGTTCGCACACATCTATTCTTAGTCGCAAATACAAGTGAAATGCTCGCACGGTACCACACAAAAAGTATTACAGTTCTCCGTACTAGAAAACAAGACAAATATACTCATTAAGATGGTTTTGTTTTGCATAACCTCACCTCATCGTGCTGTCCTCAGCTCAAAAACCTTGCTTTTCCCCTCTGTTGATAACGTGGAGCTCCTTCTCTACTCCCATTGATTAGTACTTCCATCCTGCAGTCCCTGCTCTAAATTATCAGAGGAACATCAGACCAATCTTTATGGGTTCATTAGAGCACACTTTATAGGCAAGAGCCTTGACTATCTCCATCTCTTGCTCGCTCTTGATTTTCTGCATCTCACTCGCTGACTCCCCCTTTAATGATTGTTGTTTGTTTCTGTCTTTCCCTCAATGTTAATTGGATGTTATTATGCCTCTGCTAGAACCATAAATCTTCTGCTGATCAATGCAAATTTAATTTACACTTACAGTCTTATGTACACTTCCACAAATATTACCCTGCGTATGCAAATCTTTTTGACGTCATTCTACCTTCATAAGTTCATTCATAACAAACGGTGTCAGTGCAGATCCAGCCACTGACACTCGTTCTGTCTTATTGGGACGATTTACTCATGCAAATAGCCATGCTTTTGTATTTGTTTATGGAAATAACAACAGATGAAATTATTTTTTTTTTTTACCGCTAGTGGTACCTCATAAAGAGAAAAACGATGCACTGTTTTCCCCAGCAATCTCTCTGGATCTTTACTGCTCTGTAGCAACAATCTGTACTGCTTTACAGCTAAATAGCTTTTCCAGTAACAAATAGTGACGGTGCTACATTGCAGTTTTATGTCACATTGCATTACATACACAGCCTTACAAGCAAGCCGGCGGAGGCAATAATCAATGCACTCACCTAGATTGCCCTCTCTGTTGCATTTACATCTACTTTAGGCACTAGGACGGCTCTGCATTATACTGGATATGTGCTTGTAAACAGGAAGCATGGGTAATGTAGTGTGAATGAAGTAAAGACACAATATTCCTTTTACCTCCTCAGTACACATCATCATTGACGTACGATGGTGTGCTAGTGATGGCGGAGGCGTTTCGAAATCTGCGCAGACAGAAGATCGACATCTCTCGCAGAGGCAACGCTGGAGACTGTCTGGCAAACCCAGCTGCTCCTTGGAACCAGGGCATCGACATGGAACGATCTCTGAAACAGGTGAGAGTTGATGGGATGCTGTGAGCAAGACTGGGTAGGATGTTATCTAAAAATGGTAATGACAGGACTGAACGACAAGTAGAAATGGGCGGGACTCTGTGAGACAGGTGGAAATGGGCGGGACTCTGTGAGACAGGTGGGAATGGGCGGGACTCTGCACGACAGATGGGAATGGGCGGGACTCTGTATGACAGGTGGGACTCACCTAGATTGCCCTCTCTGTTGCATTTACATCTACTTTAGGCACTAGGACGGCTCTGCATTATACTGGATATGTGCTTGTAAACAGGAAGCATGGGTAATGTAGTGTGAATGAAGTAAAGACACAATATTCCTTTTACCTCCTCAGTACACATCATCATTGACGTACGATGGTGTGCTAGTGATGGCGGAGGCGTTTCGAAATCTGCGCAGACAGAAGATCGACATCTCTCGCAGAGGCAACGCTGGAGACTGTCTGGCAAACCCAGCTGCTCCTTGGAACCAGGGCATCGACATGGAACGATCTCTGAAACAGGTGAGAGTTGATGGGATGCTGTGAGCAAGACTGGGTAGGATGTTATCTAAAAATGGTAATGACAGGACTGAACGACAAGTAGAAATGGGCGGGACTCTGTGAGACAGGTGGAAATGGGCGGGACTCTGTGAGACAGGTGGAAATGGGCGGGACTCTGTGAGACAGGTGGAAATGGGCGGGACTCTGTGAGACAGGTGGAAATGGGCGGGACTCTGTGAGACAGGTGGAAATGGGCGGGACTCTGTGAGACAGGTGGAAATGGGCGGGACTCTGTGAGACAGGTGGGAATGGGCGGGACTCTGCACGACAGATGGGAATGGGCGGGACTCTGTGAGACAGGTGGGAATGGGCTGGACTCTGTACGACAGGTGGGAATGGGCTGGACTCTGTATGACAGGTGGGAATGGGCTGGACTCTGTACGACAGGTGGGAATGGGCGGGACTATGTAAGACAAACGGGAATGGGCGGGACTCTGTATGACAAGTGGGAATAAAAAGGACTGTGTAAGGTAGGTGGTAATGGGCAGGACTCTGTACGACAAGTGGGAATAAGCGGGACTCTGTATGGCAAGTGGTAATGGGCGGGACTCTGTATAACAAGTGGGAAAGGGCGGGACTCTATATGACAGGTGAGACAGGGTGGGAAGCTCTGGGTGGGATTCTGTACGAAGGGTGAAGCATTACCTGAAAGGTGAGTGTGGGTGGAACTGAAAGAGAGGTGAGACTGGGCGAGATGCTCTCTGACAGGTAAGTTTGGACAGGGCTTCGCATGACAAGTAGGAGTGGGCGGGACTGTTGTCTGAAAGATATGAGTGGGCGGGACTCTGTACAACAAGTGGGTGGGACACTGCCTGAAAGTGAGAGTGGGCGGGACTCTGTATGACAGGTGGAAGTGGGCAGGATGCTGTCTAACAGATAAGAGTTGGCAGGCCTCTTTATGGCGGTACACTGTCTGAAAGTGACAGTGGGCGGGACTCTGAACGGCTGCTGGAAGTGGGCAGGACACTGTCTGAAAGGTGAGAGTGGGCAGGACTGTACAACAGGTGGGAGTGGATTTGATGCTCTTCGACAGGTAAGAATGGGCAGAGCTCTGTACTAGAGGTGGGAGTGGGCGGGACACTGTCTGAAAGGTGAGAGTGGGCAGGACTAAATGGGGGCTCGGACAATGCAGGATACAAAGGATACATAAACTTGCTATCAAATCTGACACTAGTTTGAACTCATCTTAAAAGTTTAATCCACTCAGCAAACTAAAATTGTAGCTACAAATTATAACTTTGCTCCATGTTTACCAAAAGTGATATGTGTTCTGTCTTACTAATACTTCCTTGTGTATGTGTGTGTGTAAAGGTGAGAATCCAGGGTCTCACTGGGAATATCCAGTTTGACCATTATGGACGCAGAGTCAACTACACCATGGATGTCTTTGAGCTAAAGAGTAACGGCCCCCGCAAGGTCAGACACACAACACAGTTTCATACATTTAGACACACAAGCATCCATTTATACAGATACACACCGTAATTTGATACACACAGGATTGATCACCCCATCGTCTATCATCTGCAGATCGGTTACTGGAATGACCTGGATAAATTGGTTCTGGTCCAGAATGAGCTCTCCATGGGAAATGATTCTGCTATGGAGAATAGAACGGTTATCGTCACGACTATAATGGTAATGTACACGCAACCACCCACATCCACAGTCTTACACACATAGTGCCATCTACAGTGAGCAGAACACATTACATCGGTTAGATCTACTTGATTAAAACTCACTTGCATTGCTCTCGACTGTATTAGTGAGAAAAATGATTAAAGAAAGCGAGCCAGTGAAAGCGAGAGAGAGAGTGCTGACTGTGCATTAATTCATTTATTATGTTAATGTCATCAGTTTATCCATAGATAAGGGAACAAGAGGGTTATACTGAAGAGAAAAAGTTTATATATGCGTTTGAGGTTGATGTTTAAATTTCCCTTAAAAATGCACCACAGTAACCATCGTTTTCAACAAATCACCATAGTTATAAGCAGTCATTGTTAAGGGTGCTGTCCCACTAGCTGATTCAATTTGAATTTGGACAGGGGTGTCAAACCTACCAACTGTTTTTGCCAAAAAGTCGTAGGTCTGTCACACTCAGCAATTAATAATGGATGAGATGACAGACTGAAAGACTGTCTGTGACATTTCCATCCCATTCTGTCACGAACTGCTGAAATAAGAACAGGAGCACCATGCAAGCAATCAAAATAGGCTGAATTAGATTATACAAATGTACAGATACGCTATATGACTTTGCATTCGCTGTCAGTTCTTTAGCCTGAGAACATTTGCATGAATGTATTTGGTAGGTGCTTTAATTCAAAGTAAATTACACTGCATTCATGCATTCCCTGAGAATGCAACCCATGACCTTGACATCATGTTCTACTATTTAAGTTACATGAATGCCATATTACACACAGAAGAAGATGAGAAGAAGCTCAAAGGCCATGAGAGCTGCCCACTTACTGGCTCAGGCTATTTCAAACTTGCTAAAAGTTGCATTTCAGTCTGGGGCGTTAACAAAAGCGTTGAGTCACTATCTGACCTCTGATTCTCCAACAGCTCACAGCCGAAAATCGATTAGCAGGACATCAGCATTGAAGCCCTACAAATTCAGAACCTTTTAGCAATCACAATTAGACAAGCTCCAAGGGTTCATATTTTAGAAAATATGCATCTGAACTCTCTCAGTTTGTAATGTTTTAAAACATTTTCAGTTTTGAAAATATCAACATTAGAATTAAAAGAACATTATGGAAACCTGTTTCTGCCACAGAATAAAATCTCACAATTCTGCATTTATATCTCATAATTCTGCATTGATACCTCAGAATTATGCGTTTATATCTTGTAGTTCTGCACTGATATCTCATAATTTTGCATTTGTAACTCGTAATTCTGCATTGATATCTCATAATTCCGCACTTATATCTCGTAATTCTGAATTTATATCTCGCAGTTCCACGTTTATATGTCGCAATAAAAAATTTGTATTTTAATGTTAAACTTTTTAGTCACTTCTAATGTTTTTTACTTTAATTTAGAAAATATCAACATTAGAATTAAAAGAACAAACAAAAGGTAAAAAATTAGCTGAATGTATTAATGTAGTAGCTTAAGTATGAGAAGTGCTATAAAATAGCGTTTCTTTATTATTACATACATATATACAGCCTGTCCTTCAAACCATATTTGAAGTTTTTTAATTGCTTTCCATTTTATTAACTACTGTAGTTTTACTACAGTAACAATGGTATTTTGGTGGAAACTATGGTCAGTGTGGTAAATTCTATAAGGGTTTAAACAGGGAAAAGAGCGATAGAAAATTATACCTTAGCAGGCTCCTCCTCTCTCTCTCTCTCTCTCCTTCTCTGTCTCTCTTTTCTTTTCTGCCATGCGCTTTTTAAGGCGATGGAGAATTTTACCTCTGCAGGATCATCATCGTTTCCATCACTGCTAAAGAATCCGCTGTTCAGACACTGAGCAGAGAGAAGAGGACGAGACAACCGTGAGACACCAGAGAGAGTGTAATGATTCAGCTGTTTCAGACACTCTTCAGCTGGGACTGCAGCGTTAAACTAACATTCAGCCCACGTACTTGAGGTGCAATGCCAAGGGTGTAAAAAGCAGCTTTGTGGGTATTTTGTTTTGTCATCTTGTGATTGCTTGCCCTTGCTCTATGAATTACATGGCTGGCATTTAAAGGCATCATGAAACTGAAACCGACCCAAGTTACTGTAACAAATGTTCCTGCTCTCATTGTGCACAATAGTTAAGTGCATGTTAATCTAAAAAAAGCTTTTTTATGATCTTTGAATGTAAAATCAGGCCCAACCATTCATTATTTCCCACATAATATTCCATTTTACTCAGAACTGTTAAATATTACAACAGTTTATATATATATATATATATATATAATATATAGAGAGAGAGAGAGAGAGAGAGAAAGTCCATGTTATTCTATAGATAGATAGATAGATAGATAATTTTAAACTTTCATCAAATCTTGATGAATAATAAAATCAAGCCCCAACATTCATTATTTCCCCACATAATATACTCAGAAATATTTAATATTGCAGCAGTTAAATATAAATAAAATCGGTAACATGTTACAAAAAAAAGAAATAAACATTTATTAAAAACGTATAAAAAAATCTTACCGACCTCAAACTTTTGAACAGTAGTATATATATATATATATATATATATATATACTAAAATATAAATTATTTAGTATAAATACTTTTTGTTCAGTAAATGTAATTTTTAAAAAATAAATTACAAGTACTTATGAAAAGTATATTTATTCTAAACACTTTATTCACTTATATACAATAAAGGACAAAAATGAATTATTTCCTAAATTAAACCATAAAAATGTAAAATTCAATAATTGAAAAATAATCAAAATAATAATCAAAAAACACCTACTAAAAATGTATTTCTTTACCTTCATGCTGTGACTGACAATAGAGAACCAATTACAAGTACATTTACTCTAAACACTTTGTTTTGTAAATATACTTGTAATTTAATATAAATTGTTTATACATTTAAAATAATATTTATTTAAAAAATAGTCTAAATTATAGTTTGTTGAGAAATAAATTACAAGTATATTTACTGAATGAAAAGTATATTTATTATAAACACATTTTGTCAACTTATACATAATGAGGGAGGAAAAATAATTGTTTCCTAAATTAAATCATAAACCCACATATTATGATTTCCCACATAATATTTATTTTTACTCATAAATATTTAATACTACAGCAGTTAATATATATATATATATATATATATTTTTTTTTTTTTTTTTTAACTGCTGTAATATTATTAATATTGTTATTATATGCTTTTTAAATAAATGTTGCCAGAAAATCAAAAAAGTTTTTTAAACGTTTCATCAAATCCTGATGAACTAAATCAAGTTCCATCATTCATTATTTCCCAAATACTATTCAGAAATATTTAATATTACAGCAGTTAAACATGTACAAGATCTGTAAAATGTTAAAAACAAAAATAAAAAGCATATACTTTTTTAATGAAGGTTGCCACACGTCAGTGCATGTTATCTAAAGAGAAAAAAGTTTTAAAATCTTTCATCAGAATGTAATACCTTTATAGTCTGCTGACGTAACCACGGTCACATGGGTGTGAAACAATTTATGTTAACCAATAATATCATAGCAAACTCAAACTCAAATTCAATTAAACAATGAAAGATAAAATCACAATCTACATTTACAATATTCATTCTATAATGGAAGTTGGAGCTTTATGGTACAGTCTTGTAACGTCACATTATTGTGTTGCCTTTAAATGTCCTGAAATCCATCAGAGGATTGTGTTTCTTGAAGGTGTGATGACCTGAGATGCTGTTTTCTGTGTTTATGGAGGATGATCTCTATCATTCATGCTACAATTAAATGATCCACTAACAAAGATGTTGCCCTGAAACTCTGAAGTGCAAGCATGTTGGATTTATATATTTGTATATTCATCAGGATCATGCATCATTCAAAACTGAATTGATATTACATTATAATTCAATGCCTGAATCACTCCAAACCTTCTCAAGCACATTAGGTAAAGGTTTGTGACACACCTTATAGCATCTCCATATCAAACATCAAACACAGCGTACAGGAAGCAGCTAGTGCAGGTCGACACGGTGACACCTTCACAAAATAGTTTTATTTATGCCGGGATACGGTGAGTCATGGCCTTTACAAAGAATATAAAGACCTGGTCTCTCATTTCTGATACGTTTCATCCTTGATTACACACACAGCGGCTGCTGAAGTGTGTGTGTGAGTGTGTGTGTGTGTGTGTGTGTGTGTGTGTGTGTGTGTGCTGTTGCACTGATGTGTTTAATGTAACTTTGCACCTGAAAAAGTCAATATGGATTCAAAACTTATCCTATTTTTTTTTAAATATACATTCATATATCAAAATGTAATAACTTTCTCCAGCCTCTGAAACAAGTTGATATTAAACTAAATTTTAAACTAAAATTGAAACCCTGTCATTAAAAGGAATATTCGGTTATTAGGTTATTAAAACGGGAAATGGGAAATGTTCGTTTCAAAATGAAAAAGTTTAACTTTAAAAGTTAAAAAACTTTAAATTGCCAATTCTGGCTAAAATAAGAGTAAAAAAAATGTTTAAACTGGAAATGGGAAATGTTCATTTCAAAATGAAAAAGCAATCATTATTTACTCACCCTCATATCACTCCAAACTGTATGACTTTCTTTCTTCTGTTGGAGAAAAAAAAAGATATTTAGCATCTACAAGCATTTTATAAACAGCATCAATGATATGCTTGATTAATGTATAATGTGTTATAAGGTGTTACAGTTTCAAAATAATAGTGTAAAAATAAATTTTTTTTTTTTTTTTTTTAACTGCTGTAATATTATTAATATTGTTATTATATGCTTTTTAAATAAATGTTGCCAGAAAATCAAAAAAGTTTTTTAAACGTTTCATCAAATCCTGATGAACTAAATCAAGTTCCATCATTCATTATTTCCCAAATACTATTCAGAAATATTTAATATTACAGCAGTTAAACATGTACAAGATCTGTAAAATGTTAAAAACAAAAATAAA